TAAAAGAAAAATAAATCCCACTTGTCCTGGTCAAAAATATACTGTTTGTTTTTCTTACAAATGTTTAAGAAGGCAGGAGGTATTTCTATAGTGCTACCTTATTAAAGTGGTCCCATTGTTGTGTCGTTGGTCCATTTACTTGAAGGCAAAGCTAAGAGGTCAAATACTGAATTCCTCACATAGGGCAAACTCATACAAGTTTTGCCTGAGTAAGATGGATCCTGTACTCCTTGTACATGCAAATCTCCAGCTCACAACCCAAGAATTTGGGTAAATAAGTTATTCAGGATCTGACCCTGAGAAACAATGGAGGATTTGGCCCAGGTAAAACTATGTCAAAAGTAAAAAATAAGTGATGAGCAATCCACAAAATGACCACTCTAGAAGATTGCTTAGGATATAATAATACAGTGTTCTATAGTGAACTGCAGCATTTAAGGACATTTCAAAATTCTTAATTTCTATTGCATTTTGTGCTTTGCTTATAATTCGTCACTTAATTGCTTTCCTTAGTTCATTAAACAAAATACAGAAACAATTATCAACCCTAAGATGTTAGAAAACTGGTTTTGTTCTAAAGAATAGATCGCCTGTAAGATTTTTCCCTTATGGTCATATATAAAATATTATAAGAAAATATGTGTGTGTCTGTAAATTACAGATACTAAATAATTTAGTTCCATCTACATGGTAGTTCTTTCTGGTTTCTGGAGAACAGTTACAAACCCATAAAATTTGTATTAATGGCTAAATCAGTTTTGAGCATATCATATTTAACAAGTTTAATCACACGTGTAGTTCTCTCATGCATTCTATAAATTACAGTTCACACTAGAGTATAAACTGAATACATTAAGAAAAAATAGGATAGGTTGGAAAAAGTCTACAGATTTTTCCTGAAATATTCTTTAAAAACGAAAGACAACCTACAACATGAGAACTTACGAGCCTACATGAAGTAAAAAATACTTGAATCTGTAACACTGACTGCAAAATCTGTTTGTAAATAGTTGTAAATATGATTTGTAAATGGTCTTCCAAAACTGTAGAAAACAAATAGAAAAGAACAATGCAAAATTCCCCATGAAGAATCCTATTTATATACAAAGCACTATGCAGTAATTAGGCCATCTAGGTAAGGTGATGCTTTCTATGAAATGTAATTTTGTACGTTTTACCTCTGTGTAAAGGTGTCTTTCACATAGAATTTCTTAAAAATACTGAAGAATCTCAGTGTTATTTTTAGGTACAAAAATCAAATTAGAAGCATTAAATACTCCAATAATAGCAGGTCTGTTCAAAAACCTACATATAGACAAATATGTCATTTTGGGAAATAAACCAAAAAGCTGGTGATGTAAGAAATATCATGTCTCCCTGCCTCTCCAAACTCTTCATTAGCTCATTAGTGAGTGGCATCTTTAACTAGCAGAAACCTTTTATGGTGCTCCAAGAGTATGCTTGCACAATGTTACCATTTGGAGCTCAGGGTTTATAAAGGACCATGGCTTTAAATGCATCACTGCCATATCCATTAGTAACTGGATAGCAGAAAGGTGTCAGGTTTCAACTTACCAGATGACAATATCTCTTGGTTAGGAGGAAATACTGGGGGCTGGTTCTAAAAAGAATCTTGTCACTAAACCCAGGCATTCCACAGATTAAGAAGTTCCCAGTGCCTGGGTATTAATGAAAAGTAGCAGCATTGTGGCTCGTTACAGCAGCAGATTTCAATTCAATACCAAATAAGAGTCTAGGAAGAAATAGGGGGAAGTAAATGGTGATTATCTGTGTGGGATCTCTCTGGCACAGTTCCATGACTGGTCTGTAAGTTGCGGGGTGGGGGTGGGAGACAAGGAGGATGGAAAATTAATGAAGAAGTAAAAAATGTATGTTACAGAATATTGCTTCTGGTAAATGTTGAGCAAGAATTTAACACTTCTTAAATACTGTCTAAGGGCAAAGTTCAGGTTATTGTTTCACATTATTTTCCCCTTCCCTTATTATATAAATTTGTTCAGTTGTTTTTTGTAATGTCTGTAGCTATAATCTGTACATCACTCTATGGCTGCTGGACAAGATCGCCCTCAAATCTGTTTTTCAGACTGAATGTGTAGCAGTAGTTTCAGCACAATATGGCCTAAAAAATTCATGCAGCTGCAGCACAGTTAATCCCTGGTATAACACCATTCACATCAGTAGAGTTACACCAGAGAAGAATTTGTCCCATGTGCTATATGCTTATGACAAAAATACATAAGACAAATTACAGTTATGACCCAAGAACTCATAGTAACATGATTAGTTGTAGTCTTCTGGCTCATTACAGTCGAATACTACAGTATAGTTTTATAAATAGACTTTGTTGATATTCTGTGGTTCCTGGACTAAAACAATGTGCATTAAATAAAAACAGAACAAAGGGGACTTGATCTGATAAGCAGGAGATGTACTTTTAAATATTCATAATAGGAGTTTTCAGGCCTGGTACTAAAGCTCAAAGACTTTCTAAAGTCATTCACAGGGGGCTGTAAATGTCAGAGAGCTAGCTTGGTAAGTAGTGCTGTTTTCAGAAAATGGATTGCTACTAAGCAGCTGCAATAGGACTCATACAACAGCATCAGGCTGGGAAATCAAAAAAAAACACAGGCAGTTGCCAGTATAAATTAATGTGAGCTCTACTGGGTTTTTCTGTAGCTTCTATTTATAAGACAAGTTGCTTGCTCAGCTAAACATCGGCATACATCAAAGTATCAACCCAATTGATGATGCCAGTACTTGGGAAACAAATCAGAAATCTATACTGCTAATAGATCTTTAAAAATCCCTAATGTCTGGAGTTCTGTGTTTCCAGAAGTGCCAGCGGTGTCTATCTACTTACTAGGAATCTAGACAAAAAATAGACAGAAGCTTAATGACAGGAATCTGACTTTCGATGCAGAGGCTTAAACTAACTGCTGGAATTGGGGATGGGCAGTGATTTTCCTTTATGGCATATCGACAGAGACCTTTTGGTTGGGAGCGGGGGAGCACCTTCAACTGAGAACTCAGAAAATATTGTTAATTTGGGATCAGATAGAAGGAATTGCACAGCCTATTTCCATTGACTGAAGGAGGTGGGAGGGGACACTGTTGGATCTTGATCCTTCTATATAACAAAAAGCCATCAAAAGCTGACAACCCAAACCATTCATTTAATCAAAATCCATATTATCGGCTGTTGCTTTCAAGCTAGACTTGGCAACAAAAGCTCCCACAATAGCCCTATTTATGAATAAATTAATCCCTCATTTCTGTAGCTTTGAGCATTCATTCATTTTCTTCCTCCTCTCATATTGTGACCCTTGTTTTGCTCTTTGCAGGTGAAGCAATGACGGTGTGTTTACATATACAAATGATTGAGTTTGCTATATATACAGAAACTGAAAACAGAACATTTCAAATAAGACTTCATGGGCCTCAGCATGAACTACAGGTTCTGATCCTGCTCCCACTGAAATCATTGGTGAAACCTCAATAATACAGGACTGGGGCTAAATCTCCAGCTAGTACTTAGAACAGAAAATGTATTAATGGCAACTCTTCTGGAATGGTGAAAGATAGAAAACAATAATCCTTCTTAAAATTAATGGGAGTTTTTAATGCACATGATTGCATTGATCAGGCTCTGCTCAGGTTGCCAGATGTGAAATGCCTCCCGAAAGGAGGTATATACCCTCAATTCTCCCATTGATCACAAAGGGAATTAGAAGTGGTCAGCGCCTTGCAGATGAAGTTCCTCATTAATTAGAACAGTTTTTTTAAAAAGTCTTGAAGTTTTAAATGTGAGGGACATTTACTGTTGGCATAAATAGTGGGGCATCTTCCTGCCTAAGACCTATGCAAACTTCTTGTTTTACACAAAGTATACTGGGGCAGTGTTTATGGAGGAGTACAGGCAGTCCCTGACTTACGCGGATCCGACTTACGAACGGGGCTTTCTCGCCCCAGAGCTCACAGGCAGCGGTCAGCCACCTCGACCTCCGGGGCGAGAAAAGCTGCTCCCGGTGCCCCTGGTCTGCTGGGGACCATCTCCAGCATCTGAGGCTTTGCTCTGGCGTGGGACCCGCTTTGCTCCCGGTGCCCCTGGTCTGCTGGAGACGGTCCCCAGCAGACCAGGGGCACCACGAGCAAACCCGCAGCCGTGGCGGGGGCCCGCGCTTCTGAGGCTTTGCTCTGGCAAAGCCTCAGAAGCGGGGGAACACGCCGCTGCTGCGGGTTTGCTCGCGGTGTCCCTGGTCTGCTGGAGACGGGCTCCAGCAGACCAGGGGCACTGGGAGCAGCTTTTCTCGGCCCGGAGGTCGAGGTGGCGGGTCGCTGCCCGTGGGCTGCGCG